CTATAAAATCATGAGTGGTGTGGAGAGGGCCGAAAAAGAAAAGTTATTTATTAGTTCCCTAAATAGAAGAACTAGAGGACACCAAATGAAATTAATGGGGAGCAGGTTTAAAACTAATAAAAGAAAGTTCTTCACACAGTGTGTAGTCAACCTGTGGAACTCCTTGCCAGAGGAGGCTGTGAAGGCTAGGACTATAATAGTTTAAAGAGAAGCTAGATAATTTCATGGAGGTTAGGTCCATAAAAGGCTATTAGCCAGGGGATAAAATGGTGTCCTTGGCCTCTGTCTGTCAGAGGCTGGAGAGGGATGGCAGGAGACAAATCACTTGATCATTGTCTTCGGTCCACCCTCTCTGGGGCACCTGGTGCTGGCCACTGACAGTAGACAGGATACTGGGCTAGATGGACCTTTGGTCTGACCCAGTACGGCCATTCTTATGTTCTTATGTTATGTTCTTAAGATCTAAATAATACCTCATTACCAAAAGGCAATGGGATCCTTTGTGGATTGTTTTCTGGATACTGATCTCAGTTTTTATTACACCTACTAAAGGTCTTCCTACTCCTACCTGAGAACCCTCTGTTTCTGTATTCAAGGATCATCTTAGCCCTTTGGGGTAAAACATTACATTACTGTAGCATATATTATTGTTAATGCCACAGGTAAAACCTTGGTACATCATTCACCAGTTTGTCATTGTGCTCACCAATTTCCAGAATGCTGTCTTACACAGGAGTTAATCATTTTTCCCTATGTTGTAAGATGACAATATGAATTTCTGATCATAGATTCATAAATTTTATAGCCAGAAGGGACCACTGTGATCATCTTAACTGCATTTCTGCAGAATGCACGCTGTAGAACTTTGCCCAAATAATACTTGTTTGAAGTAGATCAAAACTTTTTTTAAAAATCTATCTTGATTTTAAAATCTCCAGAGACTGGGAGTCTAACACAAACTTTAGTAAGTTGTTCTGGTGTGTAATTACTGTCATGGTTAAAATGTATACCTTATTTTTAGTGTGACTCTGATCAAGCTTCAGCCTCCAGTCATTAGATCTTGTTGTACCTTTGTCGCTAGATTGTTTCCCATGTAGGCACTTATAGGTGGTGATCAAGTCATCCTGCAACTTTCTTTTTGCTAGAGTCTATCATTATAAAGCATGTTTGCAACCCTTTTATCATTCTTCTGGCTCTGCTTTGATCCCTCTCCAATTTATCATCCATTCTTCTTGAATAGTGGACACCAGAACTGGACATTATTCCAAAAGCAGTCACACTAGGGTCAAGGACAGGGGCACTGCAACCTTCCTACTCCTACCTGGGAATCCTCTGTTTCTGTATTCAAGGATCATCTTAGCCCTTTTGGGTATAACATTACATTTAAAGCTCATGTTCAGCTGGTTATCCTCCATGATTTCCAACACTTTTTCAGTCACTGCTTCCTAGGATAGAGTCCCTCATCCTGTATGTGGGGCCTTCATCCTTTGTTCTGAGATAGATGTACAGCATTACAGACAGCTGTATTTAAGTATATGTTTTATTTGTGCCCAGTTTACCAAATGACCCAGATCACTATATATGAGTGACCTGTCCTCTTCATTATTTATCACTTCCCCAATCTTTGTTCTCATCTGCAGATGTTATCAGTGATTATTTGGTGTTGTAATCCAGGTGTCAAGGCTGTTCCCTACTCTGGCACTTCAAGTGCAGAAGGTGGGGGCCTGCAAGAGACTTTAAAATATCCTGCCACTAATGGTTTCTGCTTAAGAGCTCCCCAAGGTCACGGATTCCCTGACCTTGGGTCGTATACTGCCACCACCAAAATGCAAAAACCCCTCTGACAATCCAGGAAGATGCACTTGGTAATTTCTTCTTGTGGCGTAACCCCAAGCTCTTTAGCCTTCTTTCAGGTGAGAGCTTAAAAAAACAACTTGTAATTTCTTAATAATTGACCTTTCAATTTCAGGCATATGTACTCAGTGGCTGCGTCTAGACCGGCATGATTTTCGGCAAATGCTTTTAGCGGAAAAGTTTTTCCGTTAAAAGCATTTGCAGAAAAGAGCATCTAGATTGGCACGGGCGCTTTTGCGCAAAAGCACTTTTTGCGGAAAAGCATCCATGCCAATCTAGACATGGTTTTGCGCAAGAAAGCCCTGATCCTCATTTTTGCCATCGGGGCTTTTTTGCGAAAAACAGTTTTTAGCTGTTTACACCAGCCCTCTTGCGCAAAAGCATTTGCGCAAGAGGGCTTTTTCCTGAGCGGGAGCAGCCTAGTATTTGTGCAAGAACACCGACAATCTTACATTAGATCATTAGTGTTCTTGTGCAAATTCAAGCGGCCAGTGTAGACAGCTGGCAAGTTTTTTGTGGAAAAACTTGCCAGTCTAGACGTAGCCAGTATGTTCTGCCTTCTAGAACACAGGAATAAGATCATTGTCTTAAAAGGGCACATCTATTAACAAAACAAAGAAGACATGCTTGGTAAAGCATACTTGGTTGCTATAGATGCTACAGAGCAACTGAAAAAAGCCAGGTTAAAAACACAGATCTCAGCACAGAGTTCCAAAAACCCAAAATAAAGAAAGTAACCTGTTCGCATCTAATTAAACATTCCCTGTTCTACTTACAACTCTGTTCTAAGGTTTAGTTTTTCCTTAGGCATGGATATCGCTAGAAATTCCATGCCTTGTTCCTGGCTTAACTCATATCTCCCAGCTCTTGTTCTGCCTTCATAAAAGACTGCAACAGAAGGGTCCTGCTTCAGTTCAAATCACACACTCTCTTTTCATTGGCGCTCTCGGCTCCCTGCCAACACTTCTTAGAGCTTCTTAAGGGCCCACTGTTTTTGAGTTTAATCGTGACAGGCAATTTAGTTAACTGAATGGCTGGCATGTCCAGAAAAAGGGTAGCAACCTCTCCCATTCATCACACCAGGCCATTGCTAAAAATATTAAATAGTGTAGTGTCAAGAATCAACAATCGGGAGAATCTGCTAGAAACTCATCCACTTAATAGTGAATCCTTATTTATTGTTAGATTTTGAGACCTGTCATTTTCCCATTTTTAATCTGTTTAATGTGTGTCATGTTCACTATTTCATTTTAGTTTTTAAATCTTAAGTCTGTCAAGCAAAGCCAAGTCAAATGCCTTCTAGAAGTGTATCATATCAACACTACTATTTTTATCAACAAAATTTGTAACCTCATCAAAACAAGATATGAAGTCAGTCGGACAGCATATATTTGTCATGTTGATAGTGCTAAATTATATTTTATTAATTGAGCTGCATTAGCCATTCCATTGTTTTGCCTGTGATTGATATCAGGCTGACAGGTTTTATAATTACCTAGGTCATTCAATTTACCCTTCTAAAATATTGGCAGAATACAAGAAACTTCATCTGTCCGTCAGAATATTTACTAAACATTTAGACTTTTAGTGAAATTTTCTGCAAGGAATGCTTGGTTGGAAGTTATTGTTAATGTTAAATGAGCCTAAAATTAGAAATTCCAAGAGTATTTTTGCTATGATTATGGATTTTATTTTTTAAAAGTAGAGGGGTTGAAACAACGTTGTTTATCTTTTAGATTCATGGTGTCCAACACACTAGCCACATGTGGCTATTTGGCTGGTTGAGTGTGGCTAGGTGACTTGAACAATTATTCATTATTTCAGAATATTTGGGGGCAGGGATAGCTCAGTGGTTTGAGCATTGGCCTGCTAAATCCAGGGTTGTGAGCTCAATCCCTGTGGAGGTGATTTGGGGCAAAAATTTGTCAGGGATGGTACTTGGTCCTGCTGTGAAGGCAGGGGACTGGACTCAATGACCTTTCAAGGTCCCTTCCAGTTCTAGGAGATAGGCAATCTCCATTAATAGAATAATGTGGTTAGTTTGCTATATAGTTGGCTACTTCTTTAGAACTGGTTGGACATTAAGGGTATGTCTACATTGCATTCCTTTTCCGAGAGAGGAATGCAAATGCGGACAAGTGAAATTTCAAATGAAGCACGGATTTGAATTTCCCGTGCTTCATTTGCATAATTGTGGACCACTGCTTTTCCGAAATAGCTTATTTCGGGAAAAGAAACGCGGTCCGCGCAGGGTTATTTCGAGAAAAAGCACTTCCTTCAAAATAACCCTTACTCCTTACTCCGGGGTTATTTCGAAGGAAGTGCTTTTTCTCGAAATAACCCTGCGTGGACCATGTTTGTTTTCCCAAAATATACTATTTCAGAAAAGCAGCGGTCCGCAATTATGCAAATGAAGCACGGGAAATCCAAATCTGCGCTTCATTTGCAATTTTGCTTGTCCGCATTTGTATTCCTCTCTCGGAATAGGAATGCATTGTAGACATACCCTAAGGTTTTAGACTGTAGATGAGTGTTAAATGAGGGATCAGACTCTCCAAAAACATTGTTTCCTTTTTTTTTTAAACATTTGATGTGAATGAGATGCTCCTACAAAGGTGGCATGTTGGCAGCCTTGGAGAACAGGATCCCAAAACCTTGGAACTACTGTCATGAATGGGGAGGAGTGGGGATTGGGATTGTTTGGATGGAAGGAGGAAAAGGGGCGTCTCAGTCAGTTCTTCAAAGTGTTTCTTTTCTTTAATCCAGGGTCACCTGGGTTTTTTCAAAAAAGTCTAAGAGTCCAAATGCAGCATACAATTCTGATTTGCAGTGTAGAACTCTTATTCACAATATGGATCTTTATTGCACACATGCCCTTGTTGCACATGTGGAATGACTTTTGTGGGCATTAGGCACATGGAACAGTGCAAACTAGGCAATCAATGGGAGATTGCGCTCCATGAAGAATGGGGAGAATGTCACCTGCAATTTTTTAAGAAGCAGATGCTAGTTCAGTTAATATATAATTAGTTACAGAAATATAATTTTAGCTAATAAATATTGTGTAGAAGCTAGAGGGTCCTTAAAAGAAGGATTAACACTTGTTATTTATGCATTCATTGATTTAGCATTGTTTATTTTTTAAGGTACCACTTCAGTTTGCCCAAATTATTCAGCACAAGGTCAAAGGACAACTGCTTTACAGAGAAGACTCCTCTGCTGAAGGTTTCCACTGAGGACAATGGGTGGGTTATTTTTATTAAATTAAGGATTTATTTTACATTGTTGCTTCTGACATTCTGACTGTTGGGGTCCAGAGAGGTAGCCTAGACAGTAAGGGTTGTGAGCGAAATAGGACTTGGAGAGAGTACAATAGTGAAACAGGAAGCCTTCCCTACCCAGTCCTGCATACAAGTTCTAAACCCTGATATGGCCCTCAGGACAAAAAGTCTGCCAACTCTGGTGTTGAGGTTTTTTTTTTCCCCTTCACAAACTCTGCTTTCTGATTCACCAGGAAGAGGTGAGGGACCTGAGTCATCAGTGCTGTAAAAACCTTGCAATGTGTTGGTGTGAATAGAATCCAGTCCCTGGGGTCTGGTCTATACTAGGGGATAAGTTCAAATTAAGATACTCAACTCTAGCTACGTTAATTGCATAGTTTAAGCCGAATATCATAACTCGAATTTTGATGCTGTCCACACTGCGGGAAGTCAAAGGAAGCACACTCTCCCTTCGGCTTCCCTTACTCCTTGTAGAAGCAGGGCTACTGGCATTGACAGGAAAGTCCTCTCAGTTTGAATTAGTGTATCTTCGCTAGACCTGCTAATTCAAACCCCAGAAGATCGACTGCAGCAGCTTCAATCTTATCTGCAGTGTAGATATGGCCTGGTGTAACAAGGAGCCAGTTCTTACATGCACTGACATACTGGTGCATCAAGGGTTCTTTCTCCACAGAAGTACTCTATTAGTTCTCCAGTGAACTGAAGCATGCATCAAGAAATCGATGCATATAGATTGGGTGCCCTCCAACTTCTGCCCCTTCACAGACTCATTTAAATTCCAGTTACCCTTCTCTACACAGCTCCACTTCTTTCCCTCCCAACCAGCTTTTCCAAAGGCCACAGAAATGGGGAACCAGGTCAGAGATTAGGTGCACTCCAGTGAACCTTTTGTGGGTCATCAGACTAGTGATGTTCTCTTGACATCTTCCTACAGTCTTCACTGCAGCAAACACATGGGATTTGACAAGGCAGAGTTTTGTCAAAGGCAGAAGCACAGTTTGTCAGAGAAGCATTCTGCACTGCCTACATCCTCTGAGTGCATGCAATTTATCTGACAGTGCGTAGCTCCTAGAATCCAAGTCGGATAACATTTCTTCCACCAATCAAACTATGCCCTGATTCTGTGAACTCTTAAGCACATGTTTAACTTTACTCCCATGATTCATGGTTGAAGTCAATCATAAGCAATTTAAGAATATGTAAAATTTGTCTATATCCCAGTATATTATGGAAAATTTTCATTCAATTTTTACTAAAATGTTTTGTAGGTTACGATGTATGGCACTTCATAATCCAGATTTTACTACAGATGATGATTCATGGGACAACAGCTCTATAGAATTTGAGCAGAGGTCTCACCTGGGAAGTGAAATCATGAGCTTGTCTAGGTCTGCTTCCTCTGAGAAATATGAACTCTTGGACAACCTTCATGTAAAGTTCAATTTATCAAAGATGAGGTATGAATCCAAAGCTTATATTTTAATTTGTGTTATTTTTGCAAGGGTCAACCACAAAAGTCAGATTTCATTTCTGCAGATGTGTAAAATAACTCTTCATGTGTTGTTCCACCAATTTTTAAGCAAAACACCTTTTGAAATTCATAGTGAAATCTGGTAAAGATTTATGGCTTATAAATCTTGTAATTTACACAGAGCCTCTCTTAGGTCTTCAAAACTAAATACTAAATATGGGAAAAATGTCTATATGTCTTTTTAAAAGTTGTTTGTGTTCCTTTGTAAATATATCGCAATATCTTCTGCAATAGGTTTTGCTGCTTGGATAAATTTCTGTTTACACTGTGTTTAACTAGCACCATCTTTGTAAATTATTATTATTGTTGTTGTTATTATTATTAATAAAAATATTTTTGTATGTAGTGTAATGCAAAATGTGGCCAAAACAGGCATGCAGATGTCTGCATCCTTCAGTTATCTAAAATAGACAGTCTTGCCAATGTGTTCTGAACAGACTATATACATATTGTATCAAGTCTACATTTACTTATTTCGTAAGGTGTGGGGTTATTGGTAAATTAAATGTTACCAACACAATTCGAACTTCAGCCTAAAATTTGTCAATGGTGGCTTTTCCTAAATGTTAACTGCATAACACCTTTGTTCCAGATGCTAATTCCTTCTGCCCCTTTTAGAAACTACAAAACTCTTTTTAATATTCTAGTTATACCTGCAGTAATCACCCCGCAGCCTTGCACCGAGTTCAGATATCTCTGCTACTCAAAATATGTGCCCTGCAGCCTGTGTCAGTTACTTGAGTTTACTCCTCTGTTACAAAATGTTATTCCACTAAATCACACAATGTGCTTTGTGTTAGCTCACTGCTTTATGTTTATTTTCCAGTTCTAATTAGGGATTTTGAAATAACAAGGTATTTTCCCTCTTCTCCATTGTTGTTGAATAAGCAAAGTAGGCTGACTGTACTGAAATTGTACCAACATTGTTTCTTTGCAATATTATTTCTTTGCCGCTTGAGCCAATATTTGATGATGTTTTAGTCCTGCTTGATTTCTTTACTTTATCGTTTGCAAAACCACATAAGTTTACATTTTGGGAAAGTATTACATTTCCTTGGTGGATTTTCCAGTGAAATATTTTTCCATATTTGTTCAATATACATAGAGGCCAGATCCCCAGTTGGTTTAAATCAACATAGCTCCATTGACATTAATGGAGCTACAGGCTGACAAAGTGGCTCAAAGTCGCTAACTATAGAGACACAGGGGGAAATTCTGCCCTGATTTGCACCACATGTAGCCCATTGATGTCTAATGGGATTGCATGCGGGTATAAATCAGGATAGAAATTGGCATAGAATTTTTGCTTGCATTACTATGGCAGATTGGAGTTGTAATGCAAGGCACAGGTTGCTAAATATGGGTATGTCAAAGGCTGATCTTTTCTGGTGTGTAAGCTGTTAATAGCATTGCTTCTCTAATACTAAATGGCAAAAAACAACTAAACAATCTATCCTCCACCCCAAATGCTTCGCTTTATCAATAAAATAAAATTTTTCAGAAGCATCTAATTATATCTTGTCAGCGCTTGACTATGTTTCTGTTATTTAAGGACCAGTAGTTATGGACTTCTCAATTAACGCCTCTTGATTTCTATTGTATCTTCCAATGAAGTTGTCATCACATTTCTTGTTCCTCTTGAAACTGTTGAAACATAATTTGAAAGAGCAGACTGAAGATTTATCAAAGGCATTAAATCTAAAATAATCTAAACAGGGCTTTAATAGTTCGTAAAATATATATATAAAAAAATCCTAACAAAGTCCCTAAAGAGTAGTGGGGAGCTAAGATCTAGAGAATAGAGAGGGGGAAGAGAAACAAAATATGTAATTAAAGACATGTACTGGGTGTTCTTCACACATCCTACTTGGTTTAGCTCACACGTATTATCAATCCTGAGGTGCTGGAAATTGCTTTTGTAATTTAAAATTGGTCATTGCTGTCTTGAGTTTCCAACCCTTTTTGTTCTTGTTATTATTCATGTTTCAATAGCTTGGACTTTGATGTTTCTAGATGAAAGACTTTAAATAGACAGAGCCTGCTTCTCTGATGCATGGCAGTGCGGATCTCTCTGTGGCCACCTACATGGTTTCTAATTTTTTCCATTCAATCTCTTGATCCTACGACTTATTTCCACTCTGATTGAATCACGACTGCTGAATCTTTGGAAACTTATCTAGTTTTCTATTACACAAATGATTCTTTTGTAATGCAGTTGTTTATTGAACTGAGCCCGTCTCAACTAATTCCAGTGTCTTGGAATATTTTTCTTTTTTGCCACCATCAGGCTTAAAACAATCCAGTTCCCTGACATTCTATCAGAAAGTCAGCACAATTTTTAATGTTTACTTTTAGCTAAAAGACTAGGCAGACATCCATGGCTTTAGTTAATGAAAAGATTTAAGAGACAAATTACAAAGTAGACCCCATTGCTACTCTGATATAAAACATAACAGGACGTACCCAGGGCATAATCCAGACTAGTGGGGGTTCTGTCACCCCTGACCTGCAATCTTGGGTGCATTACAATACGTTGTTGTAGTAGCTCCCACCTGAGCCATTCACAGATAGCAAGCCACACTCTGAAGGTCAGTGTGTAACTGCAGCCTGACAACTATACCTTGACTCTCACCAACCTTGATTATACTGCAGGGTGAACTCCAGTCACAGATCTTCCACCATAAATATGTGTCCTGTACTGCCCTGCCCTGCCCTCTGCTGGACAGTACAAATATATTTTATCTGTTGTTACTTAAAGGAATAATATGCCAAATTATTATTTTAAATAGTTACCCAGACACTCCAATTTTAACACACTGGATTAGATAAAACAGTAAAACAAGTGTATTAACTACAAAAACAGAGTTTTTAAGTGAGTACAAGTAATGAGACATAAAAGAAATAGTTATAAGAAAAGTAAAGATAATATACTTATCAGTGCCTAATTTAACAAACTATATTAGATTCAAGATTTATCACCACAGGTTGCTGAGAGAACTCTTCTGGCAGGACCCACTCTTCCCCTGGAGTCCAACTTCTGTTTTCCTTTGCGGTCTTAGGAGCGATTCCACAGACCTACCGGGAGAGAGAGGATGGATGGCTTGGGGTGTCTGCCCCTTCTTTTAATAGTCTTACTCCCTCTCCCCCTTTGAGAAGCATTCCAGCTGGGAGCAAGATGACAGTCTAGTGACAAAAGGAAACTCTATGCTGTTTCTTTGCTAAATTGTAGATTTTTTTTTTGTGCTATCTCCTTTCTTGCCAAAGAATATCCACTTAGCAGGCAATGGTCCATTAACCTTGTTGATATCTGGCTGAGGCGTCTGCTTTCCCTGTGTCTCTCAGGAACTTGTTTGGGCACTCTTCAGCGTTATCTGAAAAACCTACATCAGTCGTGATTTCAGCTTATGTTCAGACTTTACATAAAATGTTGCTATGTGGATTTTGCCAGGATATTATTGATCAGCAAGTTAGGAGATGTTTATTGATACCTCACAAGGCATACATTACCATGAAAGTGTGAACACCAGGGTATATTCTCTGTCACACACAGATTTTATGTACAGTATTCACAAATAGAAAAATATTTAGTCGAGCAAGGAAGCTCCCACATATAAAACAAAAGGACAGATTTTAAATGGTAAATGCAAAGAATGATTATTGGAAAATGCAATTTATGATGACCATTTAATTTAAAATAAGCATGGTTTGAAAAATTAAATATTTTTCTGAGAATTTTTACAGGGTTGGGAAATCAGTGGCCTGGGGACTGAATGCAGTTTGCCAGGGTTAGCTCCTGGTGAGTTGCTGGTGCTTTATTTACCTGGACATTCACAGGTCTGCAGTTTCCTGCAGCTCCTATTGGCCATGAACGGTGATCTGCAGCCATCAGGAGCGGCAGGTGTCCATACCTGTGAACATGCAGATAAATGAAGTGTTGGAAGCCCACCAGAGGCTAACCTTAGCATACTGCCTTCAGCTTATTGCTTACCCATATTTGAGGCCATTCAATCTTTTTACAATAAGTCATTGTTTTGTGTACACAATCACCCTGTGATAATGTACAATATAAATCAGACACAAAGTTCTGATAGTTTATCTGTGAATATCCAGGAACTGGTGACATTCTGAAGAGATAATGGGATTCCAAATGGCTATTTCCTTCTTATCACTATGATTTTGTTCAATAACTTTTTTGGTACTGTACAAGAAATATTTTGAGGGAATAATTAAATTTTGGAGAAGTCAGCCCTAACAGCGTACCTCTTATGTAACAAGTAGAATGTATTTAGGGTGCAGCCTTGAAGTTCTTATACAAGGAAAACTCCAATGATGTTAAAAGTAGCTTTGTATTTCTAAGGACAACAAGATTGGGCTCTGGAAAGGCAATAGACAATTACTTGTAGTTTGGAACCTGTATTTAGGAGTCTGTCAGGAAACTGAATTCTCAGGCTAATCATGTTATTTTCTATCTAAAATATTTCCTTATGATTAAACACAAATAATGTTTCTTTATTACATTTCTATAAGTAACGTTTGCCTTACCTTTCAGATGCTGTTTGAGATTCCTGAAAGTTTCAACCCTTTTTATCTTTGTAGTTGTGTGCTCTGTAAGTATTGGATTTGCAACATTCTTTTATTTAATAAATAAGAATGTGTAACGTAGCGGGGGTGTTGTTACGTCCACTCTTTGCTGTATTGGGCTGTGTGTATGTGTGTGTGAGGCTGAGCATGACTCACTCCAGATGTGTCTTGGGCCCAGACACCTGAGGGCCAGGTATAGGAGATAACTCCTGCCCTGGAAAAGGGACAAAGGAGAGGTGGGGCTGCACCAGGACAGGGGGTAGGGTCTGTGAGAAGAGTCAGTCTTGGCTGGGCTAGGATGAGAGATGAGACTTGGAGCAGGAAAGGGGGGTGAAGGACTTGGGGGCCACTTCACCCCCAAGAGGAATAATGCTGCCTGCTCTCGGGGCCTGTGCTAACATCAATCCTATGCTGTGTCCCTGTGAACCAATAAAACCTTCTGTTCTACCTGCTGGCTGAATGTCACATCTGGCTGCGGATGGGAGTGCGGGGGGGGGGACGACTTTCTGATGTGCTGTGACAGAATGAAATCCGTGTAAAGATTTCAAATTGTAATTAAGGTGCCTTATGGCTAAATCCAGTCCTCTCAGGGGAGTGAGACTCAGTTGGCAAAAAGATTCACAGAACCTCATGCTCTGCTCAGACAGCTCTCTTGTGGATTAGTTAACACTGGCCCACGTGCTACAAATTGTGTCCCCAAGGGAACATGGAGAAGAGGCATGTCAGGTTAATTAGTGTGTAGGTCATGAGCCGGTGCATAATGATTTTGAGATGGCTCCTCAGGTACCACTTCAAAATCGGGGGCCTTCATGAGGTCAGATTCTTCCTCTGCCAAAGTATCTGTACTAATTCCTCCACTTCCCCCTCAAACTCTTGTGGAATTCCATGCAGAAAGGAAAGCAGGCTGGGGAAAATCTTACGTGGGCTCTAAAATGTGGCTGTCACTTTCTGTTGGCTAGCAGAAGCAGGGGAGCTGCCGAAGGCTGAACTCTAGCTGGTGGAGAAGTCCGAAAAACAGTCCCAGAGAAACAGTCTCTATAACTCTTTCCTTCTTCTTCTCCCTCTTCCCCATCTTTTTATTCTCTGTTCCTTCCTTCTTTCACTTTTCATTGTTCTAATACTCCTGTTTAATGTTCCCTCTAATTTTTTTGTCTCATGTATGGAATATATTTTATGTGCACTGAGGCATCTACAGATGTGCATCACCAGAAGAAACACATGCTTACAGTTGTGGGCACTGTGGGCGCTCTGCTAATCAGCTGGGTAGCATTTGAATCTTTCCTGGGGGGGCCTCCCAAGTCCTTTGCTTACAGAGAACACTTCTTCTATCTCTTTTCCCCTTCCAGAGGCAGCATTTAGTGTTTCTTGCTGTGTGTGTGTTTTTCCATCTCCATCTTCCATCACCTCAAATCACCCCATGAATGGTGAC